TTCCAGGCTCCGCCATCCTACGCTGCCACAGCATCTTTCACAGGGCTGGTACCCAGGAGAACAGACCTATAGTGGGACCTGCTTCTACCCACAATTACACTGACTGCAATTAAAAGGTTTGCTGATTGGTTTTGTCCCAGGTTATGCATCACAAAAGATTTGGGTAAGCTGATGCTTCCTCCCCGCCAGCAAGCAGTAGTGGTTGGCCCCATCACCCTCTTGGCAGCAGATGCAGAGTATTTTGTAGCAGTTTTAATGACCCCCTTGAAAAATCTTACCCCGTGGTTTTAATTAAGACTTTCAAATGCCACGGTGCTTATGTTCTCCAAAGTCAGCAGGTTTTGTAGCTTGGGGAGACCAAACTATTGAGCTCTGGCTGGGAGTGCTTCGTGTGATGAATATTTCCAAGGGGCAAGACCCTGGGCGGACTTGGCTTGTTCCTGTTAATGGAGTCAGGTGCACAGCAGCAGCACTGTCTCATGCTTCAGAGTGAGCCAGGCCAGGCTGTGTTTGGTGGGGTTTGATTTCTCCATCCTCAGCTGGAGAATCCTTGAGGATGGCAGACCTGGGTGTTGCATTAGCTGGGACTCTCCGTCTTGGTAATCCTGGTGGGATATCCTTTTCAGGGAAGGGATCTCACGTGGAAGAGGCACGTGCCCTGTAGCAGATGGGGTATTTCATGAGCAGGGTTGGTTTGTGTTATTGTTCAGGCCACGTGTTGCACTGAAGCTATGTGAGTGTTGTGGTTTGCAGATAGGTCCTGGTGCTGGGATCACTTTGCTTCCCCTGTGGGTCAGGTCCCTTCTTCCCCTTACGTGTCATGTAACCACCGAGGACACTTATTGTGGTGTCTTGATATAAAGCTGGTTTTCTGTAGGGGTTTGCTGGCCACGTGGGCCCCTGCAGCGGAGGGAGAGCAGTGTGAGCCAGACCCCCGGAGCTGGAATCCCTTCACTGCCCAGGGGGGCTTCACCCAGGGTTTGCCAAAGCCCCAGAGCCCAGCCCTCCCCAGCTCCCCAGCCCCGGGGCTCTAGTGCTCACTGGGTTAGTGTGTTGAATGTGCTTCCAAAAACGGATTTCCCATCTCCCTTTAAAGCCTGGGGAAGCTCAGCTCTGCCCACTTCTCCTTCAGCCCTGTTTTAGGCATTTGTGGATTTTCTCTCCCCCCTGCCCCAAAATAGCTAGAACTACCTATTTTATTGAGTAAACACCTCTGAAAATCCATCTCCTCGCCCCCATTGCTGGCAGGTATTTGTCTTTATCACCTCAGCCCTGTGGCTCATCGTGATCTGGATTTATCAGACTGTCAGTAACCCCCCCGTAAAGCCTGGCTTTGCGAGGAAGTGCTGTTTACTGAAAATGTCATCTTTTATTTAGGCTCCTGCTGCAGCCAACCCATGTCTTCTTTTCAGGCCTGTTTAATTAGTAACCGCAGCACAGCCCCTGACACATGTTCCTTGGTGGTGTTTTTTACCTCTAATAGGCATTAGGTAGCTTGGCCGGAGGTGGGAGGGGGCAGAGAAGAGGAGGGACAAGATGAGAAGCCAAGGGCAGCTCGAATCTAACATCACATGCTTGTGAAGTGATGAATCCTAGAAAGGGCATCTCTGCCTGCGTGCTGGATCACCCGCCCTCCGCCTTGATGGGCAGCCATGTGGAGGTGATCGGTGCAGTCACCCCTCCTCTGCACCCAGCAGGGTTGGGGATTTGAGTCACTCCCCAGGCAGAGCTCAGATGTGTTAAAGTCATGATAACTCGAGGGCCAGGGCCCCTTAGCTATGGGGTTTTCTGCAGGTCCAGGGGCTGATCTGAACCTTTCCATTCACTTTCAGGATGGGATTGTGACAGCTCTGCAGAGGTTTGGGAAGGGGTTTTAGCACAGGGGAAGGGCTGGAGCAGGGGCTGTGGTTGTAACCACAGCAGAAATAACTTATTTTTCTCCCTCTCCCCTTTCCTCCCTGCAGAAGAAGGCAGAGGCTGCCCACCGGATCCTGGAAGGACTGGGTCCTCAGGTGGAGCTGGTGAGTGTTACCTCTCGATGGAGGGTCTCAGAGGTGCCCGGGTGGTGAGTGCAGCACCTGTGTGTGTGTGTGTGTGAGCTGTCAGAGGAAGCGTGCTGCTGGCCCGGACCTCTCGCTGGCACAGCACCCAGGCAGGAAGCGAAGATGAGTACTGAAACACAGGCAGAGACACAGCCCTCTTCTGATGGCCTTAACCCTTAGGTAATCCTCATGCGCTGCGGCAGAGCTGGGTGGTGGAAGGGGCTCCGGGACAGTCTGTTTCCACTTGGGATGCTGTTGGCTTCATTGGCTTCCTCTCCCCTCTGTCCCACCCCACTGCAAACAGAGGAGGGTGCTCTGTAAGCACAGCCTGGTCACTGCGCTTACAATGACGCGCAGGTCCTGCTACTTGCACACATCCTATTCCTGTCTCCCTCATGCACAGGGCAGCTGAGAAAAACAGCTTCTAATAAATTGCCAATTAGGGGCTGCCTCCTCATCCAGAAAAATCCAGCTATAAATCAAGTGACTGATTGCTGGAGGGGTGCCTGAAAACACCCCCTGAGGGGCTGAGTCCTGAAGAAGGGTCCCTGGAGAAGGTGCATCCACAGCAATGCTGCTGGAGGGGCCCAAGGGGGACAGATGTGGTCTGATGGAGTTTCTCTTGCGTTGCACTAGCTGTGGGGTGTGAGGTGGGAGTGAGCAGGCCTGGGCAGCTGTAATTTGGCTTGCCTTGTGGAGGTGGTACTAATAGCTATCTTCCCTGGGTGTGTAAGGGAGAGGTCACAAGGGAATTAGTGCTCACTGCTACGTGTTGAAGACCACTTCCTTGTTTGGGGAGGTAGCACTCATTGTTCTTCCTTTGAGTCACCGGGGTCAAACCTTTTGCTCTCTTTCTGCTCTGAAGATTGGCAGTGCCTGGGGTTGGTGCTTCCTCATTGAAAAGATGTTGCATTTCCTTTTCCTTCCTCCCCCTCCTTATTTTTCCTCCTTTTCCCCTTTTTTTCAGTTCGATGCTTTGTCCCTGGGTGCTGACACTGCACAGGGGGACACTGTAGCAGAGCCCAGAGCAAACCTCTCCTGTCTTGCCCTGCCGTGCTCTCAGAGGGCAGGGGAAACCTCTGCTGAGAACTCCCCTCAAAACCCCGGCTGGGCTCTGCGTGTGCCTTGCAGAATGTCTCATTTGTCTGCCCAGAGACATTTCCTATGGCCCAGCCCCCCTGTTGTGTCAGGCAAAACAGCACCCAGGGGCTGCCAGCGGCCTCTGAGAGACCGGATGAATAGTCAGATCTTCTTCTGAGTTGGAAAGGAAGCAGCTCCAGGACGGAGAGGAGCTTTGCACGTTCTGCCCAGTGTGCACCCCTGCTCCACCAGCCCCAGCACTGCCACAACCAAGGAGTCTCTTACAGGGAGGTTGAGCAGCCTGGTGCTAATCCTGTGCAAGACATCTGCAAGGAGCAGCGGTGGCTGTCACCAGAGTACTGGGTCTTGCATTGCTGTGGGCTCTGTTTGTCGAGAGCTCTGGTTCTTGCATTTGCAACCATGGTGGTGTGATGGATGCATGAGCTCGGTAGCAGGGCAGCTTCCAGGGGCTGATGGTGTGAGACAAGCGGTCACGGTGGAGATGGGTTTAGTCATGGTAGAGAGAGGCCAGAGGTTACCGCAGCGCTGGCAAACCACGGCTGCAGGCAGGGAGAGGTGGTGCGAGGTCTTGGGTGCTGCTGGCAGGATGGAGCCATGGCTGTGTCTCCTCCTTGTGCTGGTGTTACTGAGGGGCTGTGGTGGGGCTCTGCCTTCTGTCCTGCTGGCAGCAGGGTGTGCCAAGGAGGTTGTGTTTGAACAAAGAAAGAAATCACCTGAGCACATTGATGGGCTTGTTGAGGCTCCCTGTAGCATTAGCTGGAAGAAAGGGCTAATATAGTATAGCATAAGTAGGGATTTACCCAGATGTTTTGTCTGTCGCAGGTTTCCAGTGACGTTGGAAGCTGCCGGTGGGAAACTCTAATTCCTGACTTCGGTCTTTTAAACAGCTCCCTCTGAGCTTCTGGGCTTTCAGGCTCTTCACTGAAACTGCTGTCCTTGGGTTGTGCGTCTCAAGGAAGCAGCAAGTGTTTGTTGCTGGTTCCTGGCTTCTCACTGCTTTGACCTGACAAAGTCTGGCCCTGCACCTTTTATCTTAGAGGTGTCATTCAGGTCTCATCCTCTTCAGAGGATCCTCGGTTTTGTCCTTGAATCCGTTTACCCATTTCTCCTTGCTGGTGCCTCTCCATCCTCTCTGCTGGGGTTTTGGGTGGCCCTGCACCTCATCCCTGGCCCTCACATCAGCCCCAGCTGGTCCAGAACATACCAGTGTGCTGTGTGGTTGTGGCACACCACTTGCCTGGGGCTCATCCTCTTGTCCCCGCGGTGGAAATCATCCCCTGCCCAGGGATCTCCAGGAAGCAGGGATCCGGTTCAGGTTCTGGGAAGCTGGGAGTCTCCTCTAGGTCAGGAGAAGGTTGTGACTGAGTAAATCAGGTCTCTGCTCATTTCATCCCTGTGATGTAGTGGTACCATTTTAAGTGACCCCTTGTTTTCCCCAGGGAGAGCTGTCAGTGAGATGTGTAGTCTAAACACTGCAGTGGCCAGAAAGCAATTGAGAGCTTTCGTTCAGTTTTAGTTTTAAAGAGCTTTCAGTAAATCCAGGCCTTTTTTTCAGTACTAGCTTTACATTGCAATTACACTTTTCTTTTATGTCATCCCCCAGAGAAATGCATTTCATGTCCCTTACCCTGGAGAAACACTGAGAATGTTTTGAACATCACTTTACCCATCTGACCTGTCAGCTTTGCTTCTCCTTCCTCACTGAGAAAGTTGTCAAGTTGGGGAGGGCTCTGAGGGAAGATGCTGTTTCTCAATCCCTGCCCTGTTGAGAATAAATGTTCTCTTAACTCTTTAGGCTGCGAGGTTATGTTCTTTATGGGGTAGGCAGAACTTGTCTCTTGGGCTTGCTTCATTGCGTGGGCTGAGTTACAGTGCTGAGGCTGTTGTGCAAACAGGTATCTCTCTGAGATGCTGGTGTCACGTAGATCTTGGGTTTGGATCCCAGAGTTTCTTATTTGTGAATATTTGGGCATTTCTGTTAAAGTGCTGTGTTCCAGTGCTTGTCTGTTAACACTTAGGTTTGCTAACTGAGAATTTAGGTGCTTCTATATATCATAGATCAGCAGTAGTGGAAAAGAATTTGGTGAGCTGAGTGGCATCAGGGCATCCGTGATGTCCACGTGCCATCTAACCCAGGTGTTTACTCCACCACCTTCTCTCAGGAGGAAGGTCTTGGTGGCTCAGCACACACCAGCTTCTTTGCTTTGGTTTTTATGAGCACAGAGGGAAGAGAGGCACTGTTATTTATCAGCATTTCCAGCTCCTGAGTCCTCTTCCAAGAAGCAGTCACTGGTCAAGGCCACACAGCGGTTCCTCTCCAGTCGAGCCCTTCCAGGGTGATGCCTGTGGACGTGATGCTCCAAACCCACAGCTTGATTTCATCTCTCCGTGGCACAGACCTGCTACGTGATGAGACAGATGTCTGTGTTCCTCTGAGCCTTCCAAGCATGAAGTGCACAGCCAGCTCTGAGCCTGGAGTCAGACTGGCAGATCTAAGAGGATTTGTGATAGAAATGCCCCTGAGGAACACCACTGAGAAGAGGTCTCCTTTTGGAGAACTGACTTGTCCCTCTCATCTACCCGGGCTCTGCCATCACAGGGTGGCTGGCTGTCTCCTTGTGGGTGTCCCTGGCAGACTCTCCGTCCCCTCTCAGGGTAACAGATGCCCAAGCAGCCCTCCTGGGATGCGGCGGTTCATCTCACCACATCTGTCTGCCTGGGCTCCTCTGCATGCCTCTTCCACGTGGGGATTACATGTGCTTTCCCAGCAAAGAGGGACATGACCAAGGGTAGCCAGGAAGAGAAGCTGATGAAGCTGCTGGTGCCAAGACGCAGCGGTGATGGGCTGCAGCGAGTAGGGAGAGCTACACCCAGTCTTCTTCCTGTGCAGATCAGTGTGGCTGTCCCGGCAGGGAAAGGTGAGGCAGGATCTGGTTTTTACAGGAGTCCTGGGCTCAGCAGTTAGAGACAAGTTTTGTTTAGGGTTCCTGGATGTAGCAGTTAGAGACAAGTTGGCTGTGGGGAAAAACAAGTTTCTCTGCCGAGCACCTGTGATGGTGATGGGGTTTCTTCAAACTGGAAGAGAAGGGGACCCACCTGTATTTGCAGGTCCTGTCCTCTCCAGTGCTCACTTGGTTGTGCAGATGTTCAGCAGATATTTTGCTCTTTTCCTGTGTTTATTCTGAGATGAAATTGAGTGGACCCAGCATGTAGCCGCAGCCACAGTAGGAAGGTGAGCTGGATTGTATGTAGCCATGGCTAGGATGCTGCCTTCAGCCAGGACCTGGCCATCACACATCCCCCTTGGCTGTATTTAGCCACAGGTGGTGTATTTGTCAGAGCTCCTTTGGTGAAGGTTTGTGGATGAACTGCTTGAAGACTTGGGCTGTGTTTAACTGGTTGGACAGGAGCTGTGCTCATTAGGTGCCCAGTTGATGATGGTAGGGCCAGGGCAAGTTTTTTATTAGCACAGCCTTGGACGTGTTCACACCAGCTTAGTTGATGACTAGAATAGCAGTGAAAGGCTTAATCCTGTGTACCCTGTCAGCCTGCTTATATAGACATGACTGGTGGTAGCTCCTGGAGCATGGCCTGAACTGTTAATCACTACGGGTGGGATTGAGCATGGTTTCTGTGGCATCTCTCCCTTCCAGAGATGGGACCCTATATATTGGCAGGTTCCCTGAGGGTACCTCACCCTGCGGATGGGATGGGAGTTACAGCAGGGACAGTGATTGCCTGAAGGTGACCGGGGTGGATCCAGCTCTGCTCTAACTCCCTGGCACATCCCCACTAAGGGTGCAGGGGGCAGAGCAGCGCTGTGATGGGTGCTTACATCTCATGCTGCTGCCAGCCATGGTCACCGAGCTCTCCAAAGGCCAAACCATGTGTCCTTCTGGAGCCCATTGCCCCTCTTGAGGGACAGACAGGAGCATTACTCTACACACGGATGCTGGGGGACCACAGAAATGTGCCTGGGGACCAACCTGCCCCTGGCATTGCTGGAAACCACAGTGACGGACACTTGTCCTGCCTGCAGTTCCCCACTCTGGCTCCCCGGGAGAGCTCAGGCAGGCTTTTGCTGCGTAGACATAACAACTTGCAGCACACAGGCTGCCTCTCCCCGCTCCCCAAGCCCCCCTTTCCCCTCGCCTCCCCCGTGCCGTATGTTCCGAAGCGCACTGCGTTTCCCAGCCGATGGATAACAAGCACGTACTCGGCCGCGCCGCGTTTATCTGGACCACGTCGCTCAGTGCTTGTTGTGAGCCAGCTCGCTGGAGCGCTGCCGGCCCTCCCCCGGCATGAGCCGGGACGAGCTGGGACGCAACAGGACCGGGGCGGCGCCGCCCCCCCTCCAGTACAGCCGGGAGCGGGGATGTGGGGCACAGGGATGGGCGCCTGGGCTGGCACAGCTCAGGGATACAGGGATCTGCACCGATGCTGATGGGTTTAAGTTTCTAAATGTCAGACTGTATCATTTATGCCTTCATTTTTCTTCTTTATTTCAGCCATTATACAACCAGCCTTCAGACACCAGGCAATACCATGAAAACATTAAAATGTAAGTACTTGGCAATAAAGGCTATTTTAAATGTCAGGTTGGGCATTAGGCTGGAGCGGGAGGGATGTTAGTTCGCTCCCAGATCCTGATTAAAGCTGCTGAGGAATTGCAAGCATCCCTTTAGAGCTGGTGTTTCACTGCTCTGGGTGCCTGAAGCACAAACCTGCTCTAGGAGCAGCTCCAGGAGCCAGGAGTTGGGAGATGTAGCTTCAGATGGATGCTGAAGGTGCTGTTTGATTTTTTTTTTGGGGGGGGGTAGATGTGGGTCCTGTTCCATCTCTTGGTGTTTTCCCAGAGAACACTCACCTTGGGTGCTTTATTCTGTGTTTCGTGCATACTGAAGTACGAAATCAGCTGCTGGTGTGCGTATGTCTCTGTGTGTGCATGCAAGAAAGATGAGGTAAAATGAAAAGTTGCAATTACAATTAGATTTTCATGAAACACCTCTTGAATGTCTAATAACAACTGGTTGTTTCAAAGATACTCACCGAGACTTAGCAATCATCTAATTTGACTTATCACCTCAATACACGATTTAATCATCAACCTGCACTGAATAACCACAGTGACTTCCTGAACATAGAAGAAATAGATAATGAGAGCAGCGGTAATTGTGATTATTGTTGGAAATCTAAATAGTCAAACCAGATCTTGAAACTTTTATCTGCCTTGAATGAACCAATGATTGCTCGGAGCTGCCTGTTTTGGTACAGGCTCGGTCAGCTGGTGATAATCATCTTTAATAATCTCTTAACAAAAGTTAATCATCTTTTGCTCTTCACTGGTATGTTAATTGATGCC